ATTTCCAAATGTTTCATGTGAGGTGAGGGTTTTGAAAATAATTGTGCCATGGGGGCATTATACTCTTCTGTGGATTAATTGATGATGAGTTTATGTGCTGTTAAAAAATGGGACCAGGATGAAGTTGTGATTTACAGGGGATGTGACCTGGAAGGTTTTATTCTTATCCCTGGCTCCTCCCTTTTCTCTCCACTTCTTGGCTGCCAAGCATCGAGCAGGTCTCTTCTACCATGCAGTTTAACCATCCTATTTCTGCCTTGAGACAACCAACCACCCACTGAACCATCTGAAACTCAGAGCCAAAATAAACCTCTCCTCTTTAAGCTGTATATGTCAGGTATTTTTCACAGAGATAGGAAAGTAAGTATTAAAAAAGGTAAGTAAAACTTTGATTTTCTTTTATTTGGTTCACATGATAACTGGTAGTTAGCTTATGTGAACTTATTATATGTGCTTTATTATTTGGTAGCTGGGTTCTTAAATTGGATATACAGTCAGAATATCTCTCAATGATTCTCTATGAATGAACACATTATTCAAATATGTGCTTTTCTAAGCTATTACTTAAAAAAGAAACACACGAGTAACTTTGCAATGAACAAGCATGACCCAGGGAATAAAATAAATTAAGTACTTCTACTTTTTCTATTTACTTTTATTCATTGAGGCTATTCCTTTCCCACCTTCCATTCTTAAATACAAACTAGAGCAATTTTGTTCATTGTTAAGTGATGTAAGTTACTTTAATGAGTAATTAAAATAGTACCATTTAATAGTAAGAACTTCAAACTTTTCTCTACTTTTTGGCCATCTCTAAATTGAGAGCCTTGGAGTCAAAATGGGAGAGTGGTCAGCTACTACTTTATTTTGTGATTCTATATTCCTCTTTTGGAGCATCTGATACCCCAGGGTATCAGAACAATCTGCCTGAGGAGGATATCACGTTCTTCCAAGTAGTTGCGTTAAACTCTTTTTTCACTAAATTTGAGACTTATTTCTTTAAAAATATTAGAACTTAGAACATATCAACAGTTCACCCTAAGATCTTTCCTTCTTCCCCATTTCACTGTGATTTAGCTTCTCCAAGCACTCATTGGCTTGGCTACACAAGTATGATTATCTCTGGATCTAAGGTATGTTTTCAACTTCTGCATGCTGATTTTAGAAATACAATATCAATAATTTTCAAGCCACAGATTGACTGAAGCTACAGTTGTGATAAATTTTTATAGAATCTGGCTTTGATACAAGTTGTCACTTACTTAACATCATAACATAGAATATCCTATTATTATTATATAATTATATACAATATCTCTTAATATTAATAATTATATTCATAATAATATAACCACAATATGAAAAATTAAAATAGTAACTGAGGTGATTTTCAAAATACATATTATAATTGGTAAACAGATATGTTTCTCATTTATTCATGCACTCATTTCCTCCCTTAAAATATACTTATTCAATGTCTGATGGAAAATCGAATCTAATGATAGGCAAAGGAAAGTTGGTCCATTTACTCATGGAGTTTGCAGTGAGATTATCTTATATATTACACAACTGTTAAATATTTGACAAGACCTGTTACCTTTAAAGTATTAACAGGAATGGAGAACCAATAGAGAGAAAAAAAAGTACTTGATGCCCAAAATAGTGAGTCAGTAAGAGCCCCAACTATATCAGAAAATAATAAAAAATAGAAGTAGGAATCTATTCAGAGTAAATCTACAATTACTTAATAAACACAGAAACTCGTAATAGGACATGTTGTTAGCAAGACTATGAAATTAAAAGCTCTTTCAATGGGATATTAATCAGAGAAAGTTTCTGCAAACATATTTGAAGCAACAATATAATTGTTTGAAGAAAAAAGTCTGTTGTCTCAATAAGAAACAAAGGAAAGAAGGGAATGGAATTAATATGAGAAAATGAAAAAATGGAAACAAAGTCTTTGTAAATAGGGAGGAATGGAGGGGTTGAAGGGAGGGCTGGGCAAGGGTGAAAAATAAGAACCAAGAGAGATTATGTAAAGATGCAAATTTCAAATGATGAATGTCATTATATTGTATACCTAAAATATACCAATAAAATTAATTTTTTTAAAAAGAAAACTAGCAAGTTATATGCAAAAATGTCTAAGTACTTTTCAGTTTTGTTTTGGTTGAGTTCTACTGTATTTGAATATTATTGTAGTTTTTTTCCCTTGCATTGTTTTTCTTTGAATGGTTTTAATTTCTGTATGTGCGTGTGTTTAATAATAAAGTCATTTAAAAAATAAATAAATAAAGGAAAACTATGGCTATTGGATGAGGAATAATCATGAATCTGTATTCAGTCATGGAATATTATCCAAGTTTTAATTTCTGGTGGTTACATATTTCTGGCTAACTTTAAAATACACCTCATTTTGTTGATTCTGTAATTTAATAGGAAAATATAAGCTTTACTGTCCTGCCACTTCTACTCTAAAGAAAATAATACTTTTAGTTAATCATACATTTAAAATTTTAAAATGAGTTGCCTGTTTTTAAAGAGGACACAAGTGAATTTTAAAGATTTTTACAATGCTGAAAAAATTAAAACAGGTAAGGTAAAAAGGAAATGAACTATAAAGAAAGAAAATATACATGTAGTTCAGCTACTAAACAAAATGCACACTAATTTACTTTCTTGCTGAAACAAAATACCTGACACCCAAATTTAAAGGAAGAAAGGTTTATTTAGCTCACAATTTGTACAGGTTTCAGTCCATAGTTGGCTGGCTCCAAGGCAGGGAGGCACAGAGGAGAAACAGTTCATGGCCAGCAGCAAGTAGCAAAGAAGCAGCAAACAAGCAAGTGACAACTGAGGAACACAGCATCGCTGTTTATAAACCTTATATCCAGGCTACATGCCCTTAAGGTGGGATCACCCTTGATCCCAGCATCACACACTCTACATCCAGCCATCTCTGAAAAGCCCCACCTATGACTGCATGAGACTTTGGAGAGACATCTAGACATAAGCCATAACATTGTGAACTAACATAAAATTTAACTCTAAACTTACTCTGAGCCATAGTAAAGAGGGAAGTAGACTAGGTTGTATGATGTCCCCTTAAATTAAAAGCTAACAAGTGCCTCAGGAAAAAAGTAATTATTCTTAATATTGAAGAGAAGTTAATCCCATGGATCCATTTTCAGAAGACACTTTTGTAATATACAACAGATGTCCACAATAGAACTGATAGACCTAGGTAGCAAATCTATCTATGGATAAAGAATAGATGGATGTTTACTTATTACACCAAACACAATTTTACAAGGTCCTTGTATTTCATTTGCCTGTTCTTTTTTTTAAAAAAATGACATCCCTGAGCAAGATCTATTTGTGAGTCTTTTTGTCTTTTTCTGCTCCAGCCTATTCTTCAGGGCATTAATCCCATTAGATGAGTTTCCCAGATCCCGAATCAGTCTCCTGCTCCATTCAGCCAATGGGACCACTGCTAGGGTCTGAAAATCAGGAGGAAGGGAAAAGCTGTGGTACTCTTCACCCTTCATCTTCAGTGGTATCTCCAACTGAGGCTACATCCTTCCTTCCACTTGTGTATGAAGAAAGTTACAGCTTCCACCAATCCTCCAGTCTAAGTTTAGTAATGGCTTCATTTATGAACTTCCTTTGCATCCCCTGATTCTTTTCTCATTCTTTATCACTGAGGGAATCATATATCTCTACTTTAGATACCCTTCAATTGAAATATATATGAAATTTTCTCTTGCATTAGTTGGATTATGAGTGATACAACCATTCATTGTAAGACAATGGTGTATCTTTTTGCTCAATTCAATATAAATAATTTTACATTGGAAAATAAATAAAATGTTATTATCTATATATCACATGTCCAAGAATGCTTAAACAACCATGAATAGAAAACATAACAGTGTGTAGAAGACAAATTCCTATCAGTTACTTAGGCATGATCTAAAAGTATAGTATTGGAATTCATCAACATCAGAACACTTGATAGGTCAGTATACATGCATTAAATGTATGTTCAATGGACTTGTTCTCCTGAGAAGATTCCTAGAAATGTGCACATTGACATCAAGAAATCAATGTACAAAAAAAGGAAATCTATGTAATCAAGAAAGAATATCCTAAGGAAATAGTACTTCTCTACTCCATCAACCTAAAAATAACATCATTTACCAAGAATTGACATTTTCCTGCAAATTTGAAAGATATACATGGAAATAATATCTACTCTTCATTTTCCATTTCTTCATTTCACCGAACATATAAACTATGAGACTATTTAAAGCTCAAATCATAGTGCTTCCAAGTTATCCACAAGTTATATGACATCAGTACATTTTTCCCAAGAACTCAGACTTAAGGCTTGAATAAAAATAGTTTCTTAGCACGTCATTTTTAAATAAATTCATTCTGGCCAAGAAGATCATATGTAAAGTCACTTTAAATTTACAGAAGAGCCTCTAGAAGTGTCCAATGTGTGGTACCAGACATGTTTAAATACACAGTGCTAACTGAGGAGCCCAAGGATGCAAGAGATCAAATACTACCAGTGCACATACAGTTACCTGAGCCCACAAAGAAGATTTATTTTATTCTCATATCATAAACATTTTCAATCACATGGCTAATGCCCTGGTTGTTACTATATGTATATCTGACAATCTCTGCATCTTAACTTGGCCTAACTGTGTTTCCTAAGAGAAAATGCATTGGCTGGAGTATTTTGTCTCCATCGTAGTCACAATTCTTATTATCATGTCATAAAATAGCATCATAAATCTGTATTGCAGTACTATAAATCTGAAAGTATATACCCCCTCTGTGAAGTTTATTTTCTTGATGTGCTGGCAAGTTATATTTCTTACTTTGCAAAACTGATTTAAACAATGGCAAACATCATTAGCTCAGTATCCCCATAAGACAATTTTCCCCAGGAAATATGCCCCACCAGCACTTATTTCTTCTACTCCTACCTGAAAGATTTCTTAATATCTTCTGCTTGGATTTTCTTGAGAATCTCTTGATATAACTGAGGATCAACTGTTCCTGAAGATGAGGCATCTGAGGGGCAATTCGTATGTGCATAGTAACCTATCAAAATTCCAAGAATAAATAAAATGGTGGCTGTGCAAAATATTTTTAAAAAGTGACAAATGTTGCAGCGGTTGCTCTTTGGTGCAGATCTTGTATAATGGGAAAAATAGTCAGTTTCTTCTTGTAGTTGCTGGAATCTTCCTTTGGGTGAAGTTGCTGGTTGAATGGAATCAAGATTGAGGTCCACAGATTCTGGGTGCCCCTGGTTTTCATTCTCAGAACTATCAAGTTGGAACTGGTCAAAACCAGGCTCCTCCAGTTCTTTTTCCATGTCCCACTCTAAATCAAGGGCAGTGCCTTGAAGGTCATCGCCGTCTAAGAACTGTGAGCGTCCTGACATACTTTGATCTGCACTGACCTTCTGATAGGCCATCTTTTTACCTGTGAAAATAAAAAAGAAAATAAAAAAATAAAATTTCTTGTGTAAACAAACAATATCCCAATAAGCCATAATCTTTTAGTGATTGTAATCAAGGGAAATATATTCTCACTACAGAAAGTCATATTTAAGGTAATTATTTAATCATGCTTTGCTGTTGTTGTTACTATAGGAAATGAGGAAAAATAAAAGAAGTTACTTTGTGAAAAGAATATGAAAAAAACATTAAAGAAATTATACACATACACAATGAACCTTTGAAGTTCAGGAGATTAACAAAAATCACAAATGTACAATTGCTTTGGAGGAAAATGTATTACAACGAATCTTACATATTTGAAAACAACTTTTAAAAATTTAAGGGCAAAAGCAATAAAGTGGTGACTTAGTAAATTAAGAGGAAAAAGGTAAAAGACCTTGGGATGGTTATATCACCAGAGGTAGTTTTCAAAACACAAATCCAAGTTAAGAGTGGGGAGATAAACTAAATAAATATCAAGTCTACTGAAATACAATAAGCAAAATATGGTACATTATATAGTCACAGACTACTAAGAAAAGCAGAAAATTTTAAGGCTACCAGAGAGCACTTAAGTATTCCAAAGAATTCATGACATGAATTGGCCTGGTTCAGTGAACTTTAAAGAAAAGTTCTGCATGGCATCAATCCAAAAAGGAAATCCCTTCACCAGCCTAGGAGAATTCAGTTTCATCACCTTACAACAGAAGTGGCAGATGGAGGTTTTTCTCCCCTGCACAGTTTTGGATGACAGTTTGTTGTATCCTGTATTAGGATAACTGGGCTAATTAACTAATTGACTGCAAGTGGTCATAAGTCTGTTTTTGGCAACTCACTGGTGTATTATGGTTGCAGGTAGAGAGTATTTATACTTAAATTTTCTAAGTATTGGATTTGTCACTGCAGTTGGATGCTAAAGGCCCTCACAATGTTTTACGATTTTTCTGTATATCTTACTGTGGTGGGTAAAGATCAGACCTCAACTGATAATCAATTAGCTAATTGCTTAGGGCTAACAACTGACAAATGAGCTCTAGTGAAAAAGATAAGATGAATTTCATGAAAACAAGTGGCTTTACTCACAGAATTGTGGATATATATATATCCAATCCTGGCTAGCAGAGGCCCATAAAATGCAAGGTTTAGAATTTCTTAGTTTGAATATAATTAAATTTTTCAAAAAAATGCAATTCCGACTATAATATTCATATTACCCTATAATCCAGTGTGATTTTTATCCAGGATTGACTCAATAAAGGTGAGAATCTCCTGCATATCAGGCACTGGGAAAGGAGATAAACTCAAAGATAAATGAGTCACTATTCCTCAAGTACAGAATAACCAATCAGAGAGAAAAATAAGTCACGGAGGAAGGTAAAGGAAATTTGCAAAGTTCCAGCATAATTTGCAGGAGATTGATTCCAGAAGAAAATATAACACAAGATTCCTCAAGGAAGTGACCCACGTGCCTTTGGGTGTAGTGGAGCAATGTGAGAGAAGGGTGCCCAAGCAAGGAAAATGAGAATCGCCCGTTTGAAAAACAGAGGGGCATGCTATGGCTGAGGATGAAACACAGGGCCAGGGATGCTGGGGAATAGATTGGAAAAGGTGACAGTGAGCAAGATTAACTTCTCTGCAACCCAGGATCTCCATTTGTGAAGTGGACATAGTAATAATATAAACATTATAGACCTATAGTATTATCATTTGGATTGGTTGAGACAATGAACCTAGAGTATCCATTGAATGTTCAATAGGCTGTACGAGTTGGGGAAAATATTTCTGGTTTTAAAGGAGAAGAAGCTATCAGAGATTGTTGGAAGAAATAAAAGAAATTAAATGATGCAGAATAAAATATGTAACTGTGTAAGACATTGTTGAGAAGGCGACAGATACAAACATATATCCTATAATCATTTGGTTTCTTCTTTTTTCATTCTATATATAGAAAATAAATTACAATGTATTAATTGTTATTGTCCAGGTTTTATTTGGTATGTACTAGAACAAGATCAGGAATGGTTTTGCATGCTTTTTTTCCCCCTTCCCTCATTTCTTATCTTCCAGACTCTTTTCTTTTCATTTGGCCTTGTTTCCAAAGTGATTCAAGGAAATGCAATATCCAAATTCAGGTTTTGGTTACTTTTGTACAAGTAGAGAAATAAAGCAATATATGGAGTAAACAATAATTATTCAGATAAAGTAAGTGATGCCTGATGAACTAATAAAAGAAGTAACCAGTGGAAACAAAATCTTTGTAAATAGGGAGGGATGGAGGGGTTGAAGGGAGGGCTGGGCAAGGGTGAAAAATAAGAACCAAGAGAGATTATCTAAAGGTGCAAATTTCTAATGATGAATGTCATTATATTGTATACCTAAAATGTACCAATGATTAGAATGAATAATCGATAATGCAAAATAGGAAGAAAAGGTCCAAAGGGGTAGGGGTAGTGGAAGGGGCAGAGAAAAGGAAAGAAGGGAAAGGAAAAATGATGAGAATGGAAAAAATGGAAACAAAGTCTTTGTAAATAAGGAAGCGGGGAGGGCGTGAAGGGAGGGCTAGGAATGGGGAAAAAATAAGAACCAAGATGTATCATGTAAAGGTACAAGTTCCCAGTGAGAAATGTAAATGTGTTGTATACCTAAAATGTACCAATGAAAGAATTTAATTAAAAAAAGAACATGTTTAGTATGAAGTACTAGATGGTATTAAAAATCTGGAGGTAATAGAATAGAGGCACTTTAAAATCCATGGTTCCAATCTTTTGGGTCTGTTATGTTACAGAAGAGGAAACTGGCTCCAAATTGAATAACCCTATTAAGACTGAGAAAAGTGATGGTTGGGTACATGTTCCCTAATGTAATGTGTGGCTTTATGTATATGATGACAAAGTTGGTGCTAATGTGAAATATCTTATTAACCAAATTATTTTAATGTGTACTATAAACTGCCATTTCTTAGAACTAGGCAATTTTTCCCCTTTGGTTTAAATATCAACAAATTACCATGATCCTGGTATGATATTTATATTTACATCTTTAAATTTTCAACTTATGCATTATTGATTAATTTACTCAGACACTGTCTCAATGCAGTTATCTATATTTTCCCATTCTTTCTCAAATTTTTTAAAAAACTGAATTATAGAGCATGGTTTATGTTCAATGAAGACTTGGGAGATGGGAGCTACTACAGAAATGTGAGGTTTCTAATCCTGACCTCTACTACAAACATTCAATGTCATTGCTCTATAAATCATTTGAAAATCAACTGCAATGATGAGGCAACGTTTTCATTTCTACCCTGACAATAGGCATTCCATCACATGTACATCAGCAATTTAATGCTTTTCAAATATTAGACAGAATCATCAATTAGAAAGTAATGCAGATACAGATATTAACTCCTCACTATGATGGATATCTGGCTGACACACTTACTACCACTTTTGGACTCATTACACGTTAATAAATTTTCAGAAAATTCCATCTTCCAGGAGACTACTATCTGGTTCAAAGGCAAATAAAGTCACTTGAAATGATAAAACTCAAAGTATTTAAGGTAATTATTTAAGGATGTATTTAAGGAAAATTACCAAGTAAAAGAGTATATGATAAAATATATGATAAAAGATTTTAATCATTTAATTGACAATTGAATTATGCATGATATATTATACATATTAAATACATGTATCCATAAAATATATTTTAAGATACAGATGTAACTATAGATCTAAATGTAAAGGCTTATATTAAAATTTAGTAGTCTATTTCTTTAAAATTTTTCCCTCAAAGGAAGTATTAGGGACTTCTTGAAAAAACCTAACATACAAATAAAATTGACCTAATAGTTTCATTTCATTTAAAATAAATATACAATGAACCATCAAAATAAAAACTGACTACTAAGTTACCAAGTAAATAAAATTTTCATAATACACTCAATTTTGAGACAAGATAAATTATTTCATGGGCTTCAAAAGAATGCAGCTGTCTTTAAAATACCTATGCCTTGAGAGATGAGTAAAAGGTATATCACTTTTTTGTTTTTACCAGAACTTTCAAATTCTCAAATAAGTTGAAAATGTTACATATAAAGAGAAACCTTAGTTATGTCTTACATATGATCATGTAATTATGTCATTCAAACTTCATATTTTATTACTGATGCATAAGGTTCGCTTAATTTAAATTGTCATGTAACGTTAAAGCTATTCCATGTGAGTGATTTAAAAATACCCACAGTAGATTTTAGAATATACCACATAAAATTTTCTCTGAAAAATATGCACTTTGGTATAGATAAGGTCATACAAACTTGAGGCATTTCTTAAATGGAAATGTCTATACTATGCTTACTTTCTATATTGTGACACTTGGTCTTTTTATAAATCCAAATTTTATGAAAATATAAATATATTCCATGTTTCCAAATGATCTTATTCAATTACATAAGCTTCCCTCCCACTTGAGGCCACAGTTTAGGCTAAATTGTTTTGAAAATCTAATGTATTAAAGCATTTATCTTTTATATCTACTTGTACCTCTATAAGTAAAAGAGCAGATACAAATTGAACTAAAGGATTTTTTTAGACTAAAACAGGCTTAGATCAATATAAATGAATAAACATCCATATGGAATATATTACTAGATTAAAAATATCTTGATGCTTCTGAATACTATTTCACACATCCATATTGGCTGAAACTAAGTAAAATACATGGGATACAAGAAAAATATATTAATAGGCTGGAAACTTAATATGTATGTAAAATACAATACCTTGCTGCTACAGATCTAGTCTAACACAGTGGTTAGCAAATATTTTGATAATAAATATATGTTAACATCTTTAATAAATTATATATACTAATACCACTTAGGAATATTACTGCAGCACTATTTTTTTTTTGCTCAGTGTTACAGCTTAGATCTAAAATGCCCCCCAAATGTCTCATGTGGTCAGAAGTGGGCCTAAT